GCAGCAGACCCAGCACACCGCACAGCAGCCGCAGAGGGCGCGAGAGGGGGGGGGGGGGGGGGGGGGGCAGGGCGAGGCAAGAAGGGTGCATACATCGGCTCAAACATTCCCGGTTGGGGGGGGTGACATCGGACAGGTTTTCGTGAGGATGCCATACAAATCTAACCCGTCAAGGTGCCACGGGTTCTAGCCGAGGGGGGCTCTCCGCGTACGTTGTACTGCGAGCAATGCGCACGGAAGGCGTGTCGCAAGGGTTTCAACTCGCTACCTGGCGTTTTCGATTAACGGGCGGAGTGTTTGATTTCCCACCTGTTTCGACCACCAATCGGGCAGAACCAGGTAGCCTTTCTCGTTGAAGTGCTCACGTTGCTGCGCACCGTTCAACAAGGGCAGGAAGAGGGAAATGCTTGTGTTCGTGAAGGCAGGTCGTGGCAGTCCGCTGCTCGCAGCCGCAAGCGGTCCAGCGCGCGGTGCTTCGGCTTTCTTTGTTGTGCCGTGTGGAATCTCAAAAACGAGGTGTGCAAGGCATTGAAATCTTGAGAGCACTGCAGTAGATAGACTCGACTGCTGTTGGAGCTGCGTTTGGTCCTTGCGAAGAGGCCGTGCACATGATTGTCGCCTCCCACTACGCGCGTCGATGACATTTCCGAACCAAGCTGAAGAAGTGTCGCCTTGACACACACATCCTGCCAATGTATGGTCGTGGCCACGATTTTGAAGCATATGTACCAAAACGTACCAGCTCTTTTGGTCAGCACAGAGGATCAGAGGCCTTGGGCACCAGTCGTCCGAGGTTGTGAACATAGGGAATGAAAAGCATCGTCGTACACAGGCATATACCACGTCCTGCCTAGTACTAGAGGAGACCCTGTGGAGAAACGTTACCAACGGGCCAATGTTTTTTCTGACGACGCCGTCAAACTTTCAGCCAACCGGCACACAACGTATGCATACTTTTGAGAGATATCGCAAAAAGAATGTATGCAAAGTTGGCGAGAAGCAACCAAGAAGGACGACATGGCAGCGCCAAGCTTTGGGAGTCGTTGCCCGATTGGAGGCGACCATGAACAATAAGAGAGGGCCGCCAACCTCATCCCAAGTGCGGAATATCAAACGTTTTGAACCTAACCGCGTTTCTTTAGACGAGACACACGTACAAAGTTAGAGAACTTGCGCCGCTGGGAATACGCGAGGCCGCCATGAGGGCTACAGCAGGAGCCGCACAAGCTGGCCAGTACACTAGCCGTGCCTATGTACGAAGTACAAAGCACCGAACAGACAGTGCGCGCAACATATATACGCGCCGGCAGGTTGAACTTGACCTTCGAAAGAAATATACCACTCACGCCGAAAACTCAGCGGGCCCATGGTGCCTACCTCCTCTGAAAGAAACTTTCCCTCGCCTGCGCCTTTGTTTTCACCCGTGCCTTCCATGGCTATCGCGTGTGCCCTCTGCTAGTTCGGCAACCGGTGGCACCACACTCAAATCTCCTCTATGTCCTCTGTCCCGGACAGAGCCCTCCTGTCTCGCCGCCAGTCGTAAAGCCTCCATCCATAAAATGAATGACCGTCCGCATCATCCCCGGTCCCGACAGTCTCGCCGATCAACGCCGTGCTTTGCCTACGTATCTGGCCACATCCAGAACAGAGAACATGACGAGGAAGCCATTGGTCTTGGCGGCCTTGGCTGCAGGTCAGGTCTTTGGTGTCGCCAACGCCTTTCACGTCTACCCACCTCCAACCCTGAGCAGCCGCGGCGGACATGTAGAGATAGCGCCCACACGGCCCTTCTCCTGTCTCCCTGCTGCCAGCTGCGGTGCACATCGCCGGCGATCATGCTGTGGCAGGCGAGAGCTTCAGCTGGCGTTGGAGAGTGAAGCACTGGCGGTAGGAGCAGGTGGGACAGATGCAATGTTGAGGAAAACGAGCGCCAAGTAGCCGGGCGTAGTCGCAAAAACTGCCATTGAGATGCTGTATTGAGATGTGCGAGGACAGCAGCAGTACTTCGGCGCGACCTTACCCACCCCTGCAGCAGTGTAGACTCAAGTGTGTTGCAAGGGACAACACACTATAATCGCGCCAGCAAATGATGGCCGAAGAACAGCGAACATTGGTATACGATTGCAAAGCATGAGCTTGGGGACAATGGCAGGATGATCGGTTTACGCCAGTGAAGGGTAGCAAAACGTCCCTGACTCACTATTTAGCTCTGACAGTAACGGTTACTTCAACCCTACCGGCCATTTTCGAGCAAAGCCACTCCCCGCCATTCTTGAACAAACCTTGCGATTTGCAAGGTTGATATATATCTCGGCGTGCTTTACCGGGGACCAGTTAGTTGGGTTTGCGAGGGCACTGAATACAACACTGCGTGCGGTGTATGCTTAATATATATGTATGTTGTACTGGACGGAAGGCGAGCAGAGCTCGTCGACACAGACAGCGCCGCTGTGGCATCAGAATTTACCTCGAGCAGCTCCTACCGCATGACATGATGCTATGTGCACTGTGTCAAGGAATGAAACATTATGCTCCGAGTTTTAGGTATGGGTTCAAGGGATTACACCCAGGGGAAAGGGGATCGATAAGGCGGTGCCGTCGCGATTCTGTCGTTCTCGCGCCGCCCCGGGTATTACACCTGCCGAGCACCATCCGCGGGCCGATAACTGATCTGCGTCACCGCATGCTGCTTGTCTACTTGACCGTGTTACCGACACAGAAGTTTATGAATTACTGCTTTACCTCTTGTCCGCTTGTTACACCCAGTGGCTAGGGTTTGTGCTCAACCTGATGCTGGCGTTGACACGCTGGGTCGAGCACTGTTTTGTGCTGCTGTTTCCTCAACGCTTCACGTCGTTATGCATGTCTGAGGGCGCTGCCTGTCTAAAGCTTGTCATTTTGTTTTTAGCCGGCACGCGTTTCGGGTTGAAGCAGAAATGGTAACGGGTGACGAGAACGGACCGAAGAAACAATCACTTCAAGGCGTACAGGTCTCCCGTCCCCAATCCCATGAAGATCGTCTCGACGACGTCGCAAGGATTTGAGGAAGAAAGACAAGAGTCACATTGCAGCTAAGATAACGTGACAACGCGTACATCCTCAAAGATATGTTGTAGCCAACGAGAGGTGTGAGGGCCCATAGAAATACAGCGAAGCTGCGATTGGCGCCGCCCGACTGCACAAGATGCAGATTTCTCCGCGTCTGACCGACGGGTTGACAGGATCAGCAGTTCCGTGCCCGCGTCGCATAGTTAGCTCGCGTTGAGAGTCGAGCAGAAACGGGGCGGCTGGCGTGAGTCCTCGGTGCTGAGCGTCCGCGAGATGTGATTTGTCACGGAGACGGATAGAAATATCCCTTTCGTCGGCCCCACGTCGGCCATAGACCGACGGTGTTCCGATGCACAGCGATTTCCGCAGGTACACATCAGCATGTGCTTAGACGGCCCGTGCTAAGTAGGGTTGAAAGCCGTCAGAAAAATGTTGTGATATCGCCGCGTAGGCAGTCGTACTTGTGCTACCTTTCCCTCGACCGGAGCAGCGGTTCCGCAGTTCCGCACTAACAGCGAGGTGCCACGGCACCCCGACAAGGGAGGAGAATTCTGCCCCAAAAGATAAATTCAGCGATGGCAAACATGCTGCAACCGTGAAGCCCTCGGAAGACCTGAGACGACCTAAGAATAATCCTATCCGGTGCCGCCACTTTAGGACAACTCAGATGGGCGCCACAAGAAAAAGGCGTGAAGGTCACTTGTGTAGTCTCTGGTGCCGGTGGCTAGGGGACACCGCGGAGACAGAGGGCTCCCGCGATGTGTCGATTTTCCTCGACGCTCCCTCGCATTCTGCGGTAGGGTCTATCGCTCTTGCGATCGTCCATCTTCTTGTGCTGTGTGGTAATTAATGTGAGAAGGCTACCTAAGTCTCTCGCAAATCAAGCGCCCGCCGAGGGAGTCGAAGGGCGTTCTTCTTTGACTGCTTCGCGCAACAATCGTTTTTCTATGGCGGTGGCAGCACAGAAGTTGTGACCGCGAAAGGAACACAGCGGCGATTTGAACACTGTAGCGTGGACTCGCCACACATGCAACAGTAAACACTCGCATGCAATGGCAGACCAACACGACTGGCAGCATAAGGTTCCTGCAGGAACAATGTTTTCCTGCAGTGCGGTTTTAGAAGGGTGGAAATATTATCGGCTAGAGGATCACCATACTTGTACACTGTTCCTGGATCGGGGAATGGTTTCACCAGTGTATGATTGCCTTTGTCTTCTTCTCGGCAGCTAGGCCTACCAGCAGTAGAGCTGTGGATGGCGTGGCAGCTTGTATGGCTGTCGTCATCCGACAACACTGTGTCACCCCCCTCATCTCAAGACCGCCCCTCACTTGTTCCCTCCTCTTTCCCCGGCGTCGCTTCTTACTTGGCTGCATTTACCCTTGTGTAATTTGTTTTTGTTCGCTGTGTCGTTTGTTGGTGGCTTGAGGGCAGCCGTGATCGCGGGGGCAGCAATCATCGGAGCAGGGCGAGGGTTGTCAACGCTCGCCGGTGCGTTTAAGCTCGCGGACTACCGAACAACGAGGTAAGAGTTAAGCAATGTTGGCCTGTTCGACACTCCCAAGATACCATCGATTAACCGTGCAGACAATGGTGCGCCAGGCGTGTGGTTGCGAAGCCTCGTTCTTGCGAGAAAGGATTAAAAGATCATGCGCGAAACAAAGTGAAGCAGTAGTTCTTGTGCAGTAGTCATGGGAAGGGGCAGCGTTCTAGTGTACGTTCCGCGCAGAGCGGGTACCGCGGCTGGGTTTTCTGTCTTCTCCCGTCTCTCGGCTTGGTCCTGCGCTGCCCAAGCATGTGATCTCGCACCGACCCCCAGCCTATTCGTTGTAGGGTGCTTAGACCATGGCACATCCACAGCTCAAAAGTCGCCTCTCTTCACACTACTCCTTTTCTGTACGGCAATCAGGACCACGTGCCGTGTTGACGAACATGTTGCTATGCCACAAATGTCTAATCTCTTCCGCCGTATTTCCGACAATCCCGCCCGCCCCACCGACCGCGCGCCCGTCGCCACTCTGGGTGCGTTCGTGCGCGGGAAGCAACTGACAGCGGAATACCATATATATATATATCCACAGAAATGTGTCTGCTTCCGGCCTGTTGTTTTGGGCACCTGTGGTACTGTCATTTGTTTGACCTCTTTGTTGTGGTGTTGTATTTCCTTGCCCTTGTCTCTCGTGCTTTCCAGCGGCCACGATCTGCGCCTGGACGAAAAGTTGGGATCCAAGCGCCGTCGACTTGACCCTTCCTCGGAAACGACTTCCGGTTCCTTAGAGAGTACGGGTGGAAGAGGCGCTTCTGAGACGGCGCTGGGAGTGGAGACCGACTGGCGAGAAGAGATCCGACTGGCTTCGCAGCTGCCGGATGATAGTGTTGTGTTCGGCGGTTCAGGGGGTATGGAAAGAGATGGTGGAACTTGAGATGGAGCGACAAGGGGGCGTTGTGAAGGAAGACTTCCCGAGTTTCCGTGCTGAGTAGTAGCATCTGGCCGGTTGAGTAAGTTGAAACATGCCTCTGTAAGGTAAGACATCAAGCAGCCCAGCGATACAGTTGTTGGTAGGGCATGACGTTATATTGCGGATTGTTGGTTGTACGTCATTAGTGTTGAGGAAAGCATGTTACTTACAGGGGTGATGCACGTTAGGCTCGTAGACAAGAATTCGTACACCGACATCTTGGCTGTCGATCCTGCACGCTTTCTGCTCGGCTGAGATGGTTACGTTTGCGTCCAACTTGAGAGTGAGGCTAATTGCTTAGGTGTAACGCAAACGGGCCAGGTGTAGAAGGGTGGAGCCAAGAGAGCAATGTCCGTCACATGCGCACTTGTCTCTCTCATTTTAGTGTTGATACTCATCAGTTTGAGTTTTTGGCTTCACGATCGATAGTCATGCTGTGGGCACCTCGGCTCGAGAAGCGGTGTCAACTACTTGTCGTATTCAATTCTACTCGCACCAGTAATCGCGGTATCTCGAGTCCCGAATGTTGCCTACAACTGGTCGTTATGGCTGTAGTACCTGCAAGTTGGGGGGGTCCGAGTTGACAGTTTGCTTTGAACGAGAAGATTTCCAGGTCCAGCTTGTCCTACTTTCTACCTTCTTCTTTGCGAACAACCCGATGGCCTATGTAGCATATATCGGAGTGCAGCACGGTGCTGCGGGATGTCCAGGTGGCGAGGGCCTCTCCAGAGCAAGGACCACCCTCGTGATGATGTGTGCTTCTTTGTGTACTTCCGAACAGTATCGCTGGACCTGCTGCTGTAGTTGAGCGTCAGGAGGAAGCAAATGCACCTTCACATAGGCGGACTTCGGAGTCGACGGGCTCATCCGGACAGCTATATATACGGCGATCAAGAAGGGCGTTGTGCCATGGTAAAAGGGGGTCTGGATAAGTCACAACATTCGCACCCCTACCAAGCCGGGGAGAAGTCACCTGTCGTGTCGTGATGATGAACAAAACAACGGCTTGACTACAGCAGTACATGACCACAAAAGGATCGTTGGCCAGATGGCGACCTTGAACTCCAGTCTGGCTGTTTGCGGCACGCGAAGGACGGGAGTTGGCAACCTCCCTCAGGTACCGTAGCTTCACCACAGCCGTAGGCACTGGTACTGTACTACTGCTGCTGAACGTACATGCAGTCCACACGTGTGCGTACGTCCACTCATTCTGCCGTACACTAGAATTCAAACACAGCAGCAGAGTTGCGTTTCATGATTTTTGACGACCAACAGCACCACTACTTTGTCACAAACCTCGGTCATAGAGCAGGTGCTTCTTTTGCAAGGTAGAGTTCAGACGCGTAACGTGGGGACTCTCTCGTCGAGGAACGCAAGCCACGAGGCAAGATACACACAGGACAGCCGGATCTGGTTCATGCAACACCTGACACGCGCGCGGGCACAATATCTATCCCCGCCCCCGCCCCCCCCAATCTAACTGATTGTTTGCGGTGCCCCCACAAGCAAGCAACGTGGGAAGTGGTTGACCGGTACATGACAGAGCACACACCACAGCGCAGGGACCATGCACGCCTTAGCAACGCGCTTAGGCGTCAGCCGCCAACGATTGCACTGCCTGACCCGAAGAATAGCCGACAATCAGCTGGGAAACCCGCTGCGTGCCGCGGTCGTGCCCAGTACCACCGCTGCTGCCAGCCGGAGGTGTGCTTCTTCATCATCGGATGATCGCGAGAGGGAGATAGCAGCGGAGCTCTCCAGAGCGCCGACACCCACGCCACCGCCGCTCGGCGACCCCAAGCACCGACGGGCCGCCACCGAGATACTCGTCAATCGGTCGGGGCTGATGCCCACCCGCATGACCCACGAGAAGGATGACAGGCCGCCGCTGACAGGGCTGGCGAAGGAGCTGGAACAAATGATCGTCCTGAACGGGCCCATGACGGTGCCGGAGTACATGATCTACGCCCTACAGCACCCCAAGTACGGCTACTACATGCGGCAAGAGGACAAGATCGGCCGCGGCGGGGACTTCATCACGGCGCCGGAGATTAGCCAGGTGAAGACAGTATTAGGCTGTGAGTTTTGTTCACGAGACTGTCAGAAAAAGAGTCAGCGAAAACGCTCCCACTGCCGTACAAGGACTGCTGCGTTGTTTGCTACTCGAACCAATCGATGCTCTCGGGTAGGAGATGAGCAGTAGATCCATTTTCTGCCTGGGTAATATGGTTCCCATACTGCTGTCTATGGTTGCTGGCGTGATGAACCCCATTAGAAAGGGGCCAGCGAACCTCAACCGCCTCCTAGGAGTTTCAATGTCTCTCGTGCGTCTCCTATTATAGTCAATACAGCAGTACACGTGTGTGTTGGATACCAGCTAAGCTTGCCTCTCCAGGCCCAGGTCTGTCTTGGTGCCGCCGCTGACCCTGCCGCAATGATGTTGTACAAGGGATCGCGCACCTCTAAACCACTACTGCTGTGGCGGCAATAGTGATCGCGGACGGCGTTGCTAGGCCGTGTTCAATGTGCACGCATGTTTAGGTTGCTCGAATGTCGCGCGCGGACGTGCAATAAGGGGCACGATACAGCACTACTGTAGTGTACGACAGGTACAGCCGCTGCAGTAGCAGCAGCATGCAGCCCGGTAGCAGCCCCTAGCCACCAAAGCCGGGTGCCCCCCCCGTTGGATCTGTGCGATTTGGCCTGCTTGTGGTGAGCTCCAGGCTCCTAGGGCTTCCTTGTGACAACCGCTGTTGTCACGATGGAGCTCCGTCAACTTTCGATGCACCTGTGCCGAAACCCTACACTCGCATGCTGCTTGCTCGCCGCTGCCGTTCAAGCGCCGATCTCACGCTCGCTGTCGAGCACGTGTGAGATAGACCGTGAGAAGCCTGTATCTACGAACGTACGCTGCTGCAGCACCTACCTGTCTGATGTCATGCGATAAGAGAGCCACCTGTCTGCTGTCGTGCAATATGAGAGTCGTCTGCCTGCTGCCGTCACACGATATTGTGGTCACTCTGCTGCAATCTGATACGAAGGGGTTCTCCCAGCAAATCCATCTTTTCGCGATTAGACCAATGGCGCAAGAAATCAGGACGGGGTCCCTCGTGCAACCCCCGCCATTTCACGATTCGTCGGCGGCCACCTGTAACTGTCTCCGATGGCAGACCTTTGGAGAGATGATCGGGATTTGGTGCGTGGCTAGCTGGAAGGAGATGGGCTCCCCCGAGGAGTTTCGGCTGGTGGAGCTCGGGCCCGGCAAGGGGACCCTCATGGTCGACATCCTCAGGACGGTCAGCAGGTGAACTAAATAGCCGTTGCAGCATCATCTCGCACGAGAACAATATTGGACACAAAACTCATATGTCTCGGTGCACAATCGACCAAAGGGATACCCTTAGCTTTGGCTACAGCAGTTCAGCAGTAGTCCAGGCAATGAAAGCTGATGATGGGTCGACAGCAGTATTGCTCGCTACGAGCGGCGGCGACAGCAGGAGAAGGGGCCGACTCGAAGAACACGAGCAAGAAACGTGTACTCAGTGACTGCTCCAGTACCTGGCGGGATATCTGTCCTTCTTGTGCCACAAAGGTCCAAAAAATCAACCCTATTGGCGGTCCCGTGTTTTTCTTTTTTTCGGAACAAGGCGCATGCACGCCGTGCATGGCATTCGCAGAGAGACAACAAAAAAACGCCCCGTGGTGTAGCCGAACCGTTCGTGTATTGATTTCGTGTGGAGTCCAGCTGTGCTGGTGTTTGTTTGAAGAAAACAAAGACACCCCCGTCCTGACATATTAACACACGATCTGTCCACCATGCGAAAGTCTTTCCGTGGCAAGAGATAGACGGTCCCCATGCGCCAAGTCTTTTTTTTCCCTGGGCGGACCTATTCGACGCGTTCGTTCGGTCCATCACCAGAAACAGAGAACTAGATAGTAAATAGACAGCATGTACCCACATCCCGCGTTCTCTTACCCAACCACCCTTTCGCCCGACCCCCCTGCCCGCCGCCACACACACACACCCCACACACCCCGCCCGCCCGCCAATAGTTTCCCAGACTTCAGGAAGGCCTTGTCGCTTCACATGGTGGAAACCAGCGACGACTTGAGGGCGTTACAGGTTAAGGCCTTGGGCGCGACGTTTGCCCCCACCGCTTCGTATTCCGCGTCCCGCGGGGGGGGCGGCGGCGGCGGAGCGAAAGAAGTGGGAGGGAGCCCGATGCTGCTCCCGGGGGGCGGGGAGGTGGTGTGGCACACCAATATTGAGCAGGTGAGCGGATGTATGGGCTTAGCCGCGTGGTGTGTTGGGGGTGCCTCTTTGATATGTCTTGACGCCGCGAGACGGTGTCCCGTGTTGACATTGATGGTTCAGGGTTGCGGTGCTCGTCTAGGGTGTGTTCCGGGTTAGCATGCGGTGGGTGTGATGGTGTGGAAGCTGCGGTAGCGGCAGCGGGGCAACAGCGGTGGCACTCGCCCCCCCCCTCCCTCCGCCCCCTATTTTCAATCTTGCTGCGCGCTCACACACACATATCACACGCCAATTAGGGTTAGGGTCAGCGCCACGAAACATGAACCAACACCAAACTCATCCACGCAATCGTTTCGAAAATTATCGCGTACTTCTGGTTGCTCCAGGTGCCGAAGGGGCAGCCCAGCCTCTTCATAGCGCAGGAGTTTTTGGACGCCCTTCCTGTGCACCAGTTCCAGTACACAGAGAACGGCTGGAGGGAGAGGCTCGTTGACGTTAACGTTCCCGGCGCTGGAGGCGCGAGAGTCGACGGGCCCGAGGGGGGGGGTGGCAGCCAGGAGGGAGACGGATCGGCGGCTGAGGGTGGAGGGGGGGAATCGCGAAAACAGGATGCGAAGGAAGATGACTTCAGGTGAGGGAGGAGAGGGAGAGAGAGGGGGGGGGGGGGGGGGGGGGGGGCC